TGATCTCTCTACAGGGAGCTTGTTTGCCTTAAAATGAACTACTGTGCTGAGATAGTCTCCACTATACCAGCATTACGTTCACCACATTAACTCAGTAAAGACTTTGGCATAAGACTTGCAGTTGGACCTCAGTAATCCCCTTTGCTCATCTGGAAACCCGGGGCCTCTGCACGGTGGGGTCTGACACCGGTGACTCGGGGTGAGAGGAACCTTTCTGCCTGTTCCCACAGCCCGAGCTGTGTCCCATCATCCCAGGGAGTCACTCAGAGAAACGAGCAGCGTCCACAGCGCTGCCGAGGGGCTCTTTGCAAAGGCTCCCCCGGGCTGAGTGAGACTTGCTGCCCTCTGTCCATCAGCACCTGTTTTCAGCTTGTCCCTGGATCTTTGGAAGGGGCTGGAAGGGTGTTGTCTGTCTGGAAGCAGCTTCCCCTGCCAGTCCCGAGAGCATTCTCAGCACTGGTTCGGAGAGCAGAGGGAGCAGGAGGAGGGAGAAGTGCTCTGCTGGGTGGGACACCTCAGCTTTGCAGCACCCAGACCCTCCCCACGTGCTGCTCCCCTGGCTGGTGGGTGAAGCTCTGGGAGAGAGCAGATGTTCCCAGTTCCCTGAGGAGGAAGGGGTAACATTTCCCTGTTGGGGTGGGTGCCTGAGGGGGCAGCTCTGCTCCTGCCACGCTGCTGCTTGCTCAGTTTTGAGGAACAGGAGAGTCAAGTGAAGTCTTTCTACCCAGGCAGTAACTTGGGCGTGGGGGAGAGGGGATAAAGTGGCTGGTTAGCTCAGGAGTGAACAAAGGATGCTCCTGCTGTTTAGTTACCAGGGGAAAGACTCCCATCAAAGGTGTTTTCTGTCTCTGTGACTTCATCCCTGTTAAAAAAATAGAGGAGGAACAGAGGCTGATACCCCAGCCCTGGTTGGTCCTGGGGCATAGGAAGGGTGTTTGCCTCTCATAATTGAATGATGGGACCACTTGCTTGGCTTTGGTGTGAACAAAGAACGAAATAGGAAATGCTCCTGTTCAGGGTGAGAGTCCTGGACACCCCTGGATCCACTCAGCATTAAATGTGGTGTCAGGATGTTAGTCCTGAGTGCTCTCAGATATTCCCAGAGGTTACAAGCTCAAGCACTTGACTCAAGCAAAAACTGAGACTTTTAAAGATGGATAAAAAGAAAGCTAAACCTTATCCCAGGGTATCCAACACACCCTACACAGCCAGTTAGTGCATTTCTCTCTCCCTTGTTTGTTTGTTGGGGTTGATATCACCTTTATCCACAAACACATATTTTCTTGGGGAGCCTAAGCATATTAGTGCATTCTGGAAATACTTTCTAGGGGCATATGCTAGAGAAATAGTTCAAATCCTCTCTGATCCTTGTTAGCATGAAACCTTGAATGGAATGTTTTTAATTCTCATTGTCATGAAGTGCTGCCAGGCTGAGATCTTATTCCTCTATCAGGCAATATTCCCATCACAATCAACGCCAGATGAAAATAAAAGCAAACAGTTTAGCCCGTTGTAATTTTTTTTCCTTTACAAAAAGCACTTGTCATCCTTCAGGTCACTTTGTTTTTCTTCAAAAAAGGAGAAGACATCACACTATTGAACATTTGTCCATACAGGATGGTGAATCCAAAGGGGTTTCTTGGAAGAGGTAACACAGCAGGTCTTTCACAATATAGCAGGTGATTTAATGGAGGGAGAGTTTTACTGATTATTGAAAAAAAATCTTTCTGCCCAAACAATGACCTCCAAGATTTAACCTTTGTAATCCAGAAACATCAGATAAAGTAGGAATTCTAACATAAGTATATTTTCACTGGAATTATTTAACCTTGCAGCTGTGGTCACGAGCTCTCCTTTCACATAGCACCTTCAGAGCTCTCCCATTTGCCCTAATCAAAGAAATGGAAGTTAGGACAAGTGCAGGTTTGCTGTCCATTACTGTGAATAGGAAATGTGTATTGCAAAAATGTCTCTCAATACAAGTACCAGTAACTCAATTTGGAATAACTTGTGGTTAGTGGGATTTGCTTTTAAGCAACTGAGTTCAAATATGTAATACAGCAATAGTGGGAAATGGTTTAGATTAAGAAAATAATGTAAAAATCATTTTTGGATTTATTTTTATTAAATTTTCTTGTTGTCACAAGCTCAGAGCCTGATGCTGCAAATGGCTGAGAAGCTCCTGGGAATTGCTAAATACTTTGCAGTACCATGCATGGGAGAAAGCTGAGAAGATTTTAAAGCACTTTGGAGGAAAGATGTTTGTATCTGAGACGTAGATGAAAAACTGTGCAGGATAAATTGTGCCAGAATTACCACACTGGGCAGTGAAAGTCTTTTTCAGAACATCAGTGTGACTGTGTTGCCTCAGACATGGGGCCCATTTGGCCCAGTACCCTGTTTCATTTTTCCAGCTGCAAACTATTTTCAGTTCAGGGGAGTTATTGAGCCCTGGTGTTTTGTAGACAGTATTAATGGTTGTTATTCTAAACATTTCTTCATTCTCTTCTTTGATGTGTGAAAAGCCAACATCCTTTGGCAAAGAATTTTCTACCTACATGAGAAACCATCCTGTTTTATTTGTTTTGAAGTGGTTTCCTACTTGTTTCATCTGGTGGTGCTCAGTCCTGGTTCCAGAGGAGACTGCAGACAGCTGATCCCTCACCTGCTCTCTCCAGACCCCCTGGCACTTTGGACACTGCTCTTATACACTCCCTCAGCCACGTTCTTTTTCCTCCCTGGCAAAAGGCACTGCTCAGTCATTCTTTGTCTGACAGCTTCCATACCTTCAGCCATCCTTTTGCTTTGGAAATGTGCCCAGTTTGTATCTGTGCTACCTGAGAGCAGGGTACCAGAACCACAGTGACTCCTCCAGGAATGTGGAAGCCAAACATTTGTACAGCAGTATGGAGCTGTTTGATGCTTTGGTCTCTGTTTCTGGCTCATTATTCCCCACCCAAGTTTTCCCTCTTCACCATGATCTGTTCCTGGGCTGGTGTGTTTGTGGTGCTGTCACACTGTACCCCCCGATCTTGCTGCTGGGTGGGGCTGGTCAGCCCAGAGCTCATCACTGTGTGTGAGGTTAGGAATGTTTATGCCATTTTACATCTATCTGCTTGGCTTTTATCTGCCATTTCATTGCTAGGCACCCTCAGATCCTTCTGCAATTCCAATCTGCCCTTAGCCTCGCTGCTCTGAGCAGCTCCAAGCCATCAGCAAACATTTCCCCTCTCTCCTGGTCATTCATGACTGTGTGGAGCAGCAGAGCTCCAGCACAGACCCACACAGAACTCCATCACTGAACTCCCTCTGCCTTTTGCTCCTGCCCCCTGATCCTCTCTATTAACCATCCATTTCTGCCCGTGAAGACTTTCTGTCTTGTGCCATAGCTGTTTAATTCCCTTAAAAACCTCTGGAGAGGGAGTTTGTCTTTTCTATTTTTTTTTTAGAAATTCATATGATCTCTATCAATTTATATGACACCAGTATCCACTCCCTACAAACCTTTCCCAGCATTGTGCTTCCAGCATGGAGCATCCCATTGCCTTACAGCCACTTTGCTCTTCCCTCTGTCTCTTTGGCTTCTCCTGATCCTCTGGTGAGGACACCAAACCCATGGACATTATCTCCCAGCACAGCCTCTCAGCAAATTCTGCTGCTTTTGATTAATTATGAACATTAGCAGTTTTTAACCCTGGCTTTCAGGTCAATGGGGGGAAAAAAGAGATTGACTGCAATAAGAGGATTTATAAATCTGCTGTCAAAAAGCAACACTGAGCCAATGAGGCAGATAACCAGAAAAGCAGAAAGCACACAGGCTTATTTTTGTCTTAGCCCTGAAAGCTTCTCTTCTATAGCAAAGACTTCCATACTGATGAGCATAAAATATCTTCTGATCCAATTTGCTGAGAGTTTGAACTAAAAGAAGCAATTGAAACCATGTAGGATTTCTTGCAGTGTGGACATATTACTTATATACAACTCAGTAGGTCTTGGCTGCACAAGAATGTTTTAATTTTTAATGAAAGATGCCTAGAGATGAAATATTTAACACCTCTTTCTGTAAAGTCCAACTCCCATTACTATCACTACAAACATTGCAAAGGGCAGTGATACTGCTTGTTGCTCCAAGTGTTTTAGAGTGATGGATGAAAAGAAAGGTTTTATTTTTAAAGTTGGATATAGTTTGCAAAGATCACTAACTTGAACCGAATCCTGCAGTTCTTGCTTACTAAGATCAGTGGGAGTTTCATAATTGAAATTTCTATTAATATAACAAGATTTTAATCAAGTGAGAACAAGGAAAAACCTTCTTGACTCTTTTTTTTTGAGAAAAAGATTTTAAAATTCAAAAGGCCTCCTCTACAAAGATTGCATGGTATAGAGGGATTCTTTAACCCTCTGAAAGAGCAATTAATTTTTGTACAGTCTGCCCAGAGGTGACAACAGTTAGTGCCATCCCCTTCTTTTGATAAATTTTAAATTTCCCTCCTAATTTCTGGGAGAAATCTTTAAAAAAATCCATCCCTTATAGTGTGCATTTTCCCTCCTGGGAGCTGGAAACGTTCCTACTGTATCAATGGGAAACTGTAGTTCAGGACAAGAAACTTTAAACATGAATTGGCTCCAGTGAACTGATAGAAGCTGGTAATCCCTGTCATTGCAGCACTGGCTGATCAATAGTCATTCAGGGATGCAGTGGCGTCAACTGAGGAGGATTTCAAGGCTTGATTAGTTGTGTTCCTGTCCCATTGGGACTGTAGTGCAATCTTCACTTATAAAGACATGTGATCTGAAAGCCTGAGGCAGAACAATCCTTGTTTTCGCAGGAGAAGCTTTTCTAGGATGCAAAAGCTTTTACATCCTCATCACTCTTTCTAAAAGCTGCATCTTCTCCACAAAATTATATATTTAAAAAAAAAAAAAAAGCAAGCTTAGGATGGCATCAACATCCCAGCGTCTGCGAGGTAAAACAGCGTGTAAAAAAATCTTTTGGGCAGTGTTTCCTCACGCCTGCTTCATCCTGTCTCTTGTCATCTACGCTTTTCTGGGGGCTCTCATGTTTTCCCACATTGAAGGTAACAGGAAGGTGGAGTTTAGTGAAGACTATAGAAATTTTCTGCAGAATCTGACGTACCTCAGCAGAAGTTTATCAGGTATGTACTGGAATTTCAAAATGACTTAATTGTGCAGGGAGTCACTCATTCTCTGGCTTTTGGAATGAGATTTTTTGCTTTTGAAGACATTCTTCAAAATACTAACAGCTGACCCTGCAAACGGGATTTTTCCTCTCCCTGGCTAAGAACTGCTGGTTCCTCCCTTAGCTGTGATTTCTGACTGCAACCTTCCCCAGCCCCGTGTTCCTGCCCGAACAGACTTTTCTGAGGTGCCAGTGTTCTCCCTTTTGCCCAGGTTCCCTAAGGTCCTTGAAGACCAGCTGAGATTCCTGTGGTGTTTCCTTCTGTTTTCTGGGGACTGAAATCCCTGTCTCAGAAAGTTTCTCCTGCTCCCCCTTGCCCTGCTCTGAGCCCCCCCAGCCCTCTGGTGATGGGATGCTCAGTGAGAGAGGTGCAGTCCTGCCCCCCAGACCCAGAGATGCTGGTGGAGGGGGTGGAGTGGAGGAGAAGGGCTGTAAATCCTCCTGGATCTGTGCCGGGGCCGTGCACAGGCTCGGGGTTTCTCTCAGGTAGCTGTGCCGACACGATGGCCTGTTTTGGGCAATTAACCCTGTAGATAATGACCTTTCAAGAAAGGCTCGGCCCCGGGGAGGAGGAATAAGGGCTGCAGGCTCTGGGATTCCCAGCAGAGTGCTGGGCAGTGACATCCAAGTGTTCATAGCAGTTACCTACTGATGACTCCACATTTCTGATGCCTGTGTGTCAAAAGAAGACCAATCTCCAAATTGAAACAGGACATTCAGGCTGGAAGCTGATTATTCAGTCTTATGTTTATTTGTTCCTTGTTTCTTTATTCACTAAAGCCACTGAACCCACCTGATTTTTTCAGGAAGGGGGGGTTGAAAGGGGAGGGCGAGAACGTGAATATTTTTATCTTCTAAAAGAACATGAGCTAATTCTCAGCTGGAGTAAACTTCGCTGGAATAACGTGCTGCCTGCTCCCTCAGTGATGGTCTGCAAACACTCACTGTGTCTCCTGCTGTGACTGTGACAGATAACATGACAGAAAATGAGGTGAAGTTCAAGAAAAAAATCCACGATCTTCTCAACACAGCTCAACAAGACTGGTTTGTCAATCCAAAAGACAAGTGGAGTTTCTTTGGGTCTCTCTTTTTTTGCTGCACAGTGTTCACGACTGTGGGTAAGTTCAGAGGTAAAGTAACACCCTACAGAATAAATTGCTGTTGCTGCTTTCTCTAATGACTTTCTTCCAGAGAACTAGAAAGGCTCTAAACAAACAAACAAAAACCCCTCTCCCAAACCCAAACCCCAAATCCCCTTGAATTTTTCTTCTGAGTGTTGATGATGAGTCTGCAAGCAGTTCTGTACACACAGGTTGCAGGGATGTAGCTGAGTCACAGAAACAAGTCAGAATTTAGTAACTAGTGATGGTACACACTAATTAGCTGCATCATTACATATATACTGTAACACATACTCATGTAGGACATGTACACAGAACTACTATATTAAAGTAGAAAGAAAGCTCCGTTTTTCACTCAAACCTTACCCTTATTATGTGTTCCATTGGGTAATATTTCCTTCACTAGAAAAGATAATTCATAATGCATATATTGTTTTTCAACTGCTTCCATGCTATTTATGTGTAATTCAGCTTCCTTAATCTATGGGTCTTCAATTAAGCATGGTGTTGTTCATAATTCTCTGCGTTAACAGCACATGACAGTGTTTAAGTGACACCTCTGAATTCTTCCATTCTGACTCCATATTTCCATGGAGGAACTAGATCAAATAGAAACATCTGCTCTGATTTTGGCTCCCTCTGCATTCTTAAACACAATTCCTCATGCTCATTTCCAAAACTACTTTTATCTTTTTGCTAATCCTTCTCAAATGCTGGCAAGTACAGGAACTGTCTATCTAAATTTGTCAGAATCAAAGCTGGATGGGAAATATTCCCACAGCATTGTATCAAATTGCAAAGACATTTCTTCACTGCATTAGGATACACTCAAGGCCCCAGCATGGGTATGCATCTTAAAGTAAAATTAAAACTGAACCCTAAAAAAGAGCTTATTCTATACAAGGAATAGTGTGAGAGCTAACATACTCCACTTGGAGCACTGGAGTGCTGCCTGAGTCCCAGCAGAAGCTCAGACCTCAGGCTCTGATGCCTTAGATGACTGTTCCAATCCAGGTTCTTGCAGCCCCTGAGTTTGAAGGCAGTCATCCAGGTGGTCAGAGACACACCCTGGGGATGGGACCAGAGTCCTCACCCCTGTGAATATTCCCTGTACAAACACAGCAGCTCGGAGCTTTGGAAGGGGGATGTTTCATCAGAGAGCTTTGACTTCAGCAAACTGATGAAAAAGCCCATTGTTGAAAACAATGGATTTACCCACCTCCATTAACGTGGGACTTGACAAATGTCCCCATACACACCAGCCCAACATATTTATTTCTAAACTGCCAGTACTTTTTGCCTTCATAGCACTGAGCATTAACGCAGCTTTCTCAGGTTTTGCCCTGAGTTTTGGGATCAGCAGAAAGCCTGGAATATTTGTTTCTAATAGGTGGAGTAAGTGGCTATTTCTGTTGTGGTGGGTTTGTTATTTGCAGTATTAGGAACTGATAAATCACCTCAGAGTAGAATTAAATTAACTACCTTGAATTATCTAGGAGAACTGAGACATCTGCTGTGAAGTTTGGTGCTCTGAACTGTCACCTCTTCACTGCCTGGGGAGGCTGCCTGGTGGGTCAGCTAGGATAGATTTCTGGATAGCTAAATTTAAGCTCAGGATAAGTTTTAAGCCTTGAAAATGCACAAAGGATTTTTAATGCACAGACACTGATTTAAAAAAAGGAAATAATATTACTGTGCAATAACTACAAAAATTAATCTTCCCCAATTGTTTCAACAGTGAAGATCAGCATTTCCAGTTAGCCCGTGGGGCACAGGGTGACCAAGAATAAATAGTATTTCAGTACAGACAAGGTAGGAAGAGTTAATTCAACAGAACTGGCAAACTCCAAACCTCCAAGTGCTTGAAGAGGTGGGATCCCTGCATTAGTATCAAGTGTCTGGGACTCAGAAATTTTAACAGCTTCAAAACAAAGCCAAAAAGAACAGTATGCTTTGGACTAAAAATTGACTTTCAAAAACTGACAGCAATGAAAAGCCCAGAGGATGTGAATACCTACAAATCATAATGTTATCTCTCTCTCCCTTTCCCTTCTCCTCCTCTTGTTATTGTTCAAGGTTATGGCAATACCTACCCTGTGACACGGATTGGGAAATATGTCTGTATGTTGTATGCTTTGTTTGGCATCCCTCTGATGTTCCTGGTCCTGACAGACATGGGAGACATCCTTGCCACTGTTTTATCCAAGTCTTACAATGAATTCAGAAAACTGCAGTCAAAAATTCTCGCCTCCAAACTCTGCTCTGGATCCACATGTAACAAAAGGAATGAACTAAAATCCAGAGCACAGTCTAAAATAGTCATCAATGAGCCCGTGACAATTATGGAGCTGCTGAAAAGTCAGGCTGGTGTGAAAAGGGGGCCGGTCAAATATCGCAATGTTGAACTTTTTGAAATGTTAATTGCCAGAGAAAATGAGCAAATGAAACCAGCGAGAAATAAAAGCATTGAGAGATGGAGTTCGTGTCCTGAACTTGCCACGGGAAAGACAGTGTCCAGAGTAATTGAGAATTTTGACAAAATAGGGAAAGAGTTAGAAAAATTAGATGTGCCCATCGTGTTGATGGTGCTCGTTATCTTTGTGTACATCTCCTGTGCAGCTGCTATTCTTCCAAAGTGGGAATCCAATTTGGATTTTCAGGAAGCCTTTTATTTCTGCTTTATCACCTTGACCACTATTGGATTTGGAGACACACAGCTGGAACATCCCAAGTTTTTCTTGTTTTTTTCCCTTTATATTATTATTGGCATGGAAATTGTCTTCATTGCTTTTAAGCTGGGCCAAGATCGCTTAATTGTTTTGTATAAAAAGGTAATTTCATTCTGTGCAGAGAAAAAGATGCCGTCAAAGAAGATATATCCAAAATAAGAGCAGTCATTTCTCCTTCACTTGTGAACATTGGCCACTGCAATGAGATGAAACTGTTTCTGTGCATTTCTGCCTTGGGCTGGCAGGTGTCATATTTTATTATGATTTCCTCTGAGAAATTACTGTCAAATGGCTGAATACCTCAGAATTCACTTGGTGAAGGAATCTCCAGGGAGTACTTTCCAACAGGTTCCCACCTACTAAATGATCAAAGAAGATGCTGCATGAAGAAGAAGCTGAAGGCTCTCCCTGCCAGTGCTCCCCAACATATTTTGCAAAGCTCTGACTTCCAGCAGCCTTTCTGTCCTCCCTCCCACACCAAGCCAGTTCAGGATTTTTTTTTTCTGTACTTGTCCAGCCACCTTCTTGCAGGCAGGACCAGCCTGGTTGTGGCTGTGGGTGCTGAACATTTGCAGTGTGCTGCTGGCATGATTCATCACCAGAGTGAGCTGGGGAGGACAGCTCTGACCCCACCTGCTCTCCTGTTGGGACTGGTGTATTGGGAACATCACACCTTTGACTGGGACACACAAGTGCTAAGTTGGAAGGAAGAACACCCAAATTTTTACACCTTTCCCTGTCACCTGTCCAGAAGTCAGTCAGAAAATGGTTCATTTGTTGAGGGCTGGATCCCCTCTTTCCCCATGCTGGTTTATCCCACCTGCCCCAGTGTGCAGTCAGTGTGTGTCCCGTGGTGCCCAGCTCTGGGTGCTCATCACAGCTCAGCTCCTGAGGTGGCATCTGGGGAAGGCACAGAGCAAACCTGGAGTGATGCCAGCCTGGGAGGAAGCTCCATCTCTTTGCTGATAAAGGAGCATGTGTTGGGACATGGACTGCAGAATTCCTCACTCCCAATCCAGGTTTCACTCTGCACAGACTGTTGGATTTCTGGGAGCTCCTTGGCCCACTCGTGGAAAGCAAAGCCTGCCTGTTTCACTGCAGGGTGGGGAGGATCCTGCAGTTATGTGCTTGTGGAGAACATCAATTCACAAATAATGTTGTTTCTTCAAGATTTTGCTTGTATTATTCATGATCTGAAGCGAGTTATCAATTATAGATTTTTTTCACAAAAAATAAGAATTTAGAATAAAACTATGTAATTATTCTCTAATTACCCACCTTTTAACTTGTAGATTATTTGCATGCCCATTGAATGTGAATGACATCTCTAGATAATAAAAAATGTGTGATTATGTCAGAATGTACATTATTCTCCACTAGCAATTTTGCCATTTGAAACTGAGATTTTCAGAATATTTACATGTCATCTTATGTCTGTAATACTCCATGTACATGGTAATATGTATTCAGTCCTTATTAATAATTAGATGCAATTAAGCACTGATTATATGCAACATATATAATGACTGATAGTATATAGAAAAGGGATTTATAAAAATAACAATAAAAATGCATCAGCTGGAAGAAACTCCAGTTAACTTTATTATGTTTGCTGTAATTTTGGCTTTACATAGAAAGTCCCTCTGTTCATATTACTACTCTCATATTACCTAATTTTATGTCTTTAGATTAAAATCAGTGCAGAACTTTGGAACCAAGTTTTCAGAAATCAATAAAAGGACTTGGATGATTTCGTGAGTTTTGGATCAGAGAACTGCAGTTCCTCTCCTCAAGGTTTCCCCTTATGATGTGCCTCACATTGTCAGCATTTCTAAGAACTGCTCTTTATATAATTTCATTTGTTTCTCTCATATCAGTGAGATCTTGTTTATGGAAAGCAGTTAATCCTCAATTTTCCATTGACATGGAACTTTAATACCTTCACATTTACTTTATGGATTCAGGGAATTTTGGCTGGATCTGCAATAAGGATTCTGCACCAGATCATTCTAGTTATGGCCAAGGGGTGGCAGTAAACAGCTTTCCTTCCTATAGAACCTAAATAAATAGATAAAGATGTATTTTATAGAAGGAGAGAGAAGAAATCATGTCACCATTACCTTCTATAAAACAAAAATGCTCCTGACTGTTCAACAGAACACACAGCTCTGGTCCTTCACCTCCCAAGGAATATGTAAATTTGGAAAAAGATTATAGGCCAGGCTAAAGGATGAACAAAGACAGGGAACAATTTCCATACGAGACCCATACAGTAGCTCTCTAGTCTGAAAAGAGGTGAGAGACTGATGGAGAGATGGGTAACATGACCAGGGCCCAGAGAAGGGAAATAAGAAATAATGGAATGATTTTTAAATGTCTTTCATTACAAGAACTTGGGCTGCCAAACGAAACCCACAGGTGACAGGTTTGAGAAAAGAAACAGAAAGAGGAGAAAATGGTGCTTCACACAATGTGTAATTAAGCTGTGGATAGTCCTTGGCATGGGAGGATGTGGAGACTAAAAGTTCACATTAGGTCAATGGGAGATGGGACAAAACCATGAAAGAAAAACTTGAAAAACATTTAAATACAAAGATAACAACTCTGGCTCAATAACCACTGAATTCCAGATTGGCAGATGAGGAGGAAGCCTCTCTACATACTTTACTTTGCTTATGTTCTTCCTTTGCAACCTGCTCTTTCTCAGAGGCAGAATCTTGGTCTGCACCATCTTGTTTGGGCCTGATTTCCATGCCTGTGATGCACAGAGACATACTGCTATATAGCTAAAAACATTCAGCAAACCTAACTTCTGAATAGGTACTTAGTGTCACATTTGTGGGCCAGGCAGACAAACCAGCAAAACAAGTCTGATTGTGCAAAACACGTCACCAGAAATTGTGATTTAGGTAGCACAACCAGTCTGCAGGAAATGGAACGTGGTCACTTGGCTTGTGTCGGGAACCTGAAGGGGGGTGGAGAGCTGGACACACATCCCACTGTCAGGTGTAAAGAGGTATTTGTGTCTCCTGCTCAGGTGCACTGAAATACTGATCTCACCCAACAGGACTATCTGGCCCTGATTCTCTTGCTCCCAGAGGTGCCAGAGCAGGGTGCAGGGGCCTCGTGCTCACAGTGCCAGCAGCTGGGGCTGTGCAGCAGGACCTGAGCTCAGGGAATAAACACAGCCACAGAGAGAATGGCAGTGAGAGAAAGCAGTGAGTAATGGCTCATTCAGTGAGCCTCAGGCATAAATATTTATGAGTTTACTGCTCTTATCATGGACTAAACCCTAGAAAAATTCACAGTCTCTGCCCACAGAAGTTTTTATTCAAAAAAATTGACACGGAGATCAGCTTTGTTTGCATCAAAGCAGTACAAAATATTGCTTTTCATAACTTTTTTTCCGTCATGTCCTGCGTGAGATGGTGGATTAGATGTGAAGGGGTTCATTGAAGAACTTTTCCATCAGGAGAGACGTGACTGATGGGGAAAGGGTTGCTTGATGTGTAACCCACAGCAGATATGAGTTATTGCAGCCCCAGCTGGGGAGCTTTACAGATCAAATGCACTGGATGCTGAAGGATGCTGGATCAATGGCTCCTGATTGGGCCAAGATGGCAGCTGTCACGAGCACTTAGGGCAGGGAGGAGGGTATTCCTGCTGTGGGAACTACAGATGGAAGGTTGGAGGATGAGTTGAAGGAGCAGAAAACAATCTTTGGGCAGAAGGGTTGGAGGGGGAAAATGACAGCGATGGCAGAGCATGGGGCCTTGTTCTGTACAGACACAAATATGGTGAAGAGGTGCTTGAGAGACTGAAAATGTGGTGAGGGCTGGTGCCTCCAGCTTGGGAAGGTTTGTGCAGCCAGCCCGTGGTTGGAGAGCCCTTCATGGGCCAGCACAGTGGTTGTGGCTGATGGGCTCCACCACGGACCTCACCATCAGCAGAGTCTGTGCAAGGGAGCCTCCTGAGACAGAAAACAGTGGCAGAAAGAAGATTCAGGGTCTGGACTGAAAAGCCACTAATGAAACCATCAGAAATATTCCTCTTGTTCTCTGCTTTGTTATTTAGAGAACAACAATTCATTCAGAAGCATCTTTTGTGTGAGCAATACTTCTGAGGACTCAGGAAATCCTTAATGGGATGTGGGACTTGTCATCTGTGTGCCAGTAGTTCAGATGCAGTCCAGATTGTAGTGGGCCCAGTGCTAGTAACATCTGATAGCACTTTGATGGCCTTTATGCTTTTTCAACTTGTTCCAGGTGGAGATGGTCCCACACCACAAGCCCCCATATAATGAATGCTAATAGCATGCATGGGGGCAGGCTCAGCAGGGGCAAAGGCTGGTATTCCAGCTGGGAGGAGTCCCTACAGACCTCTTTGCTTCCAGGTTCCTTGCATACCTTGGGATCCTTATTTCCAGACCACGGTGTGCATGCAATGTAGCATGTGTGGCTGTTGCATGAATTATGAGTGTTTTGTGAACCCAGAACAATGGGTATTATCTTTTTCCCTGGCTTTCAAAATGAAACATTTTTATTTTTAGGTATTATTCATATATATATATTATTATAATCATTATCATAATCATCATTATCATTATTCAACTCCACAGGCTGTATTCAGCTGTTCTGCCAGCACACACTATGTTCTAAGACCAACTTAAAGTATTTAGTTAAGCTGCCTTTTGCTTACCTTATGCACCATATATAAGATAGAAAAAGTACTTCTCAAGCCATCCGAAATGACAGCCTGCATTCCATGCAGAGCAAGGGAGATCAGGCTGCTCAGGATGAATCTCAGTTACCTTTGTTAGAGTGCACAGGCACAGATGGTGACAGCAATAGCAGGAATTTGCTCCATCACTCATAGCAAATAATAACTACATGAAGACAACAGACCTCTCATGCACGAAGCCAATACTTTTAGGATGCAGCCTGAAGTCTGAATGCAAACCTTCATGAGCAGTGAGGTCCATGACTGTGTTGTTTGTACGTGCCAATAGCTGCCTGTCTGCACGTGGTGTTCATTAGAGACTTTTAGGAAGTGCTTGAATAAATGTTTCTTGGCTTGTGTGCTCATGGGTTTGGATGTGAATCTGAGCTGGTTTTTTCTTTGAGTTAAAAATTCAGTCTGTCAGTAGATAAAATCTAGTTCTTTTGAGGTTAGTTCAGGCTTTTTCAAGCTGTTGAAACTCTC